GACGCTGCAGTTCCGCTGAAAAAAGCTTTTAAATATGGTACCCAAGGTTGCCTTGAAACAAGCAAAACAAACATAAACAAAACGATAGCTTGCTATTACAGGACTCCTCAACCCGACTTTTTAAGCCTCCTTTTCAATTCTTTCTGACCACTTACTGAAGACACCTCCCCAAAGGGAGCATGGGCTTTGTTGTAACTGACCAGCTGTGTAACCTTGAAAAAGTTAATCTACCTCTCTGAGCCTCAGTTCCTCACCTGTAGTGTGGGAAAGTAACAGTTACCTTGAAGGGCTACTGTAAGGTAAAGTATGAGAAAAGCCACCCCTGGCACTTACCAGGACCTTAGTAAGTATTAGGGGGCTTCCTTCCCTGAGGCCTGTTGCCACCAGAAGTGTCCCAGGCTGCAATCCTATTCTGGCTGATGTCCCCCTACCCCCACCTCTCCATCTCTATGTAGTAAATCTAGAAAGTGAATTCTGCTTGACAATGACAAACACAACAGCCCCTCCCATATGAACTGTGCTTTGAAATTTTCAATATGTTGCTGCCAATCTGAATTGCTTTGACTTAAACACCAGTCAATAAAGTAGGTGGCACCTATATTTGTTAGGTCTGATCAAATAATCGAATCAATATCCCCTCCCTGGGAAACTGACCTTTAGATCATTTCAAAACTGACATTCCCTTTCACTTAGACCACATTTCATTTGCTAAGACCAGTAACTTTCCCCTCCGGACTTGCCCAGGATCCGGACCTGCACAGAGAATTCCCTGCCAAAAAAGCCCACCTAGAGTCCTTTAAGATCTCTGACTCCCCATCCCTAGGTGCTGATGCCATCTGGGGGCTCAGCCCATTTGGTTTCCAGATGAACTAATAAATTTATAATTATTTACCACTTTTGGCCTTGTGCGAACCTCCTTCAGTGACCCTAACATTTGGTGCCAAGAGGGTTCCTTGGGGAATGGGAGCCATTTCCCCGGCTTCAGTCACCCCAAGTTTGCTCCTCAGAGAGAGGTAGGCAGTGGCAGCTCGTCCTGGGCTTACTTCCAAATTCTACTAGAGTGAAATGATCATTGGACGCAATTAAGGCCTCCTTCCTTATGGTTCCTCCCAAACCAGCCAATGAGGACACCAGATCAGGAACCTCTCCTTCCCATTGCTGACCCTCCACCCCATACTGGCTAATCTTCTCTCATCTCGAGTCTTCTGTCCACTTACTCTCACTGGCTTCGCAAAAGTCTCTCTTCTTGAAAGTCCTATCGCTAGACCAGAAGACTCCTTGGCCATACAGCCTCAGGTCCTTCGAAACTGGGGGCGCCCCATCTGGAGGGTCACCCCTCGTTTCTCCTGGTGATTTGTATAGTGGTAGGGATGTCTGCCCTAAATAGTCACCTTTGGACTTATGGTCTGTCACTCACCCTTCCTCTCTCATGGTCCACACTAATTCTCCTTATCATGGGGAACACTTCCTCCGCACCCCCTAAAATGGCCTCTCTTGGCTATCTCCTTAAAAATCTTGATCGCCTTAGACTCACGGAGGAGATCAGGCCCAAGCGCCTCATTTTCCTTTGTAACACAACTGCCTCATCGTCCTTTTGACAGAGAGCTCTGAAGAAAAAATATTCAGTGCCAAAAAATCCTTGAGGAGGGAAATGTTAGAGAGCCCCCCAGAGCAAGGACGATGGGCCAGGTACAGAAACTCACCAGGGCAGAAAGCTCTGGACAAAACTGGGACAAGAACCTCGCCCCCAGGTAACCTATCCTCCCCTTCCCTATCACTAGTCAGGCAGTTTGGACCCCTGACCTTTTCCTCCCTAAAAATAACATCTAGGCCTCAGTTGTATTTCTGCTCCAGGCCCAGAAAAGCAGCAAAACCAGACAAGTGACACTGTGGCTGCCTCAGGACCAGCTTTTACCTCCCTAGTCACTCAACAGGTTTCCTCAGCCTTGGGTGTCACATATAAACTCCACCCGGCATCCTAATCAAACACTGACTGTAATGAATGATCTGGCATGTGCTAGAGATTTTTTTTCCCTGCATTCCTTCTTAACAGGAGACAGAGTTCTACTCAAAACAGGGATGATCAACTGGACAGGAACCTGTATTTAGTCTCTCTCTCACCCAACGAGACATAGCCCCTAATAATTAGTCTTACCTGTCCCAGTAACCCATCATATCCAACACAAAAGGGCAGTGCAGATAATCGCTCTCCTCATAACCCACGGTATCTCAGCAGGTGCTGGAACTGGCATAGGGGGCTTAACCACTGCTCTATCATATTTTGAACTCCTGTCTCAGGACCTACAAGAAAGCCTGGATGACATTGCCAAAAGTTAGGTTCAAATTCAAGATCAGATAGATTCACTAGTGGCTGTCACCCTCCAAAATTGGAGAGGACTACATCTCCTAACCACACCTCTTTCTTGAAGAAGAATGTTGTTTTTATGTCAATTAGTCTGGCCTAGTCAGGGATGCCATCCAAAAATTAACAGAAAGGGCCACAAAGACTGGAGGTCAGTCAACTTCATGGGACTACTGGCTAAAAAATATAAATTGGTATACCTGGCTACTTCCCTTCATAGGACCATTGACATTCCTATTCCTCATCCATGTTTTTGACCCCTGTATTCTGTACTATTTTTCATCTTTCCTTTAGGACCCCCTTTGAGCCTTCACCAACCAGTCTCTCAGGGAAATCATGCTGCTGCAATCCCTCACTCCAACCAAAAGGCATCTATACAGTGTTCCAGCCAACTGCAAACAAAGTCCATCCCCTTTTGATCTCGATGTCCCCTCTCAGCGGAAAATAACTATGGAAGAAATGATATCTGCCCCTATTCCATAAAACAAAAAGGCTGGAATGTTAGGTCTGATAAAATAATCGAATTGATACTCTTCCCCTGGGAAACTGACCTTTAGATCATTTCGAAACCGACATTCCCTTTCGCTTAGACCACATTCTGTTTGCTAAAACCAGTAACTTTCCCCTCCGGACTTGCCCAGGATCTGGACCCACCCAGAGAATTCCACGCTGAAAAAGCCCATCTAGAGTCCTTTAAAATCTCTGACTCCCCGTCCCTGAATCAGGGATGTTATCTGGGGGCTCAGACCATCTCGTTTCCAGATGACCTAATAAATTTACAATTCTTTACCACCTTCGGCCTCATGCGTTCATCCTTCGGTGACCCTAAATATCAGAATCCCCATCTTCAATCTGGAATCTCTAGTGCTCTTCCTTCTACACTGCTAATGAATGCTTCCTTCCTGCTTAGAAATTTATACTTCTGCAGTGACCATTGGAAATTAACGCAGATGGGGGGTGTTGGGCACCCCAGCTGGGGGCTGTTATTTCCTGCCAAATCCATTCCTCTGGCTCACTCCTCCACCTTTGGACTTGCCCCTTGATTGAATAATTAGCCCTCTTTCTGGAGAAACCCAGGCTGGCAGTCACTAACAAAGCTGTGTCGACAATTTCTGATTTCTGCTGCCACTGCCAGTGCTGGCAGATCAGCTCGACAGTCAGCATTTCGGGGCCCAGTGGGTTTACAGTGGAAGCAACAAGCACTTTGGAAGCACAAAGAGCAACTAGTGCAAGACTGACCCCATGAGCCCAGTTTTGGGGGGAATTTTGGCCAAGGCGAAGGCACGTTGAGCCAGCATTGTCAGATGCTAGTTAAACAGAGTCACCTCCATACCCCCGACCTCCAACGCCAGTCCCCGTTTTCCCAACTTGTGGGCACCATGTAGTCACTCCAGGACACACTGCTCCCTGAAAGGGTTAAAGAGAATAAAACGGGGCAGAGGAAACTTATTGTGCTTAGCAGAGATCTTGCAAGAAGTTTGCAGCCTTGAGCACCGTATAGCTTAGATAACCAGAGGACACCTGGCAATGGGAGACTGAAGGACCGGACCCTTACGCCAACAGAAACTGCCTGCAGCCAGGAATCGCTGAC